TCTTACTACAGTTGGCATAAATTGGCAATCATAAATTCAAAGTTCACCAAGACTCTTTGGGGGTCCATAAATTCAGAATTATTTGCCAGACATTGAAAATATTTGCAAAAAATTAAAACAGTGTCACTTTGTCATTATTATTTTGCACTAGCTGATAACCTGGCGTTGCCCAGGTATTTATTTATCCCAATTCTCTATTAGACAGGAATAATCAAAGCCTTGTTGAAAATGTCCGGACCAAACGTAATTTCTAATGTTGGATTTTCCCCCTTACCAGAGGGAACCCCCTTGTGGAGTACTGGGAAGCCATTACCATGGCAACTCCACTGTGCTGTACAGTAGAAGCCATTTTAAGGCACAACAGGCTGTATCTTAACAGAACACCCACCCTGAGGAGTGTTATGGGTGTCTTACCCCACAGTATTTTTTTCCAGAGGGTAAGTCATCTGTGTATCAAGTTTGGTTGAAATTGCTCGAGGCGTTCCAGAGTTATACACACAAACACACACACACAGAGCCATTTTTATATATATAGATTATTAAAAATACAATGTTTTTGTCATTAAAAATATTTTATTTATGTTAAAAGCTAATGGATTTTACATTGTACTTTATACATAAGTAAATATTCTACATTTCTTAATGCAGAAAATACAGATAACTATAACCCATAGAAACCAAAGCTCTTTTGGAATCCTCCATAATTTTTAAAGGCGGGAAGAGGTCCTGAGTGCAAATGTTTAAAAAATATTCTTCTAATGCGACAATGTTCTCTTTCCACAGAAAGGAGATTCAGCATCTGGAGGATCAGCTTATGAAACATAAACCTCTTGAGCGCTCCAAGGGAGGCCTTCTCCTCGGGTCTTCTATGGTCCTTCTCCCACTTCTCCTTGCTGCCCTCCTCCTCTAGTCCATTTTGGACACTGCCAAGTTTGGGTGGTGCGCACGTGTCAACTCTCACCCTACTTCATCTGCATAACCATACTCCTTCTTCTGCATGTGGGTTTTGGAGACTTCTGAGCTGCGCCCTGTTAGGACAGAAACCTGATTCTGATGCCAGACGTGGACATTTATCTACTGTGAAAACTGAAATTTTGGCCACAGCAGTGGATTTGCTAGAGCTTGTATTACATTGCACTGTTACACAGAACTTGGCAAATAAAGTTCAATTTTGATTATGATAATAGTAACCTGTACCTGGTGAATGTCAAATTGGGAACAACTTTCTTTGCTTTCTGATGGTTTGGTGGCTTCTCGTGTTAATGTTCAGAAGACCAAGATGCTTTGATCATGCAGGAGGTCTCAGTTTCAACCCCTGCTAACTGCTAGCCATGATGGGAAGAAAAGCAACACCCCATAAATACATATAAACACATGCCTGAAAATGTGGAAAGTTGATACAAGCTAATATTATCATTTTCCCCAAGAATAGAATAGAATAGAACAGAACAGAACAGAATTTTTTATTGGCCGAGTGTGATTGGACATACAAGGAATTTGTCTTTGGTGCATATGCTCTCAGTGTACATAAAAGAAAGATACGTTCATCAAGAATCATAAGGTACAACACTTAATGATAGTCATAGGGTACAAATAAATAACAATCAGGAAACAATATTAATATAAATTGTAAGGATACAAGCAACAAAGTTACAGTCATGAAGTCATAAGTGGAAGGAGATGGGTGATGGGAACGATCAGAAGATTAATAGTAGTGCAGACTTAGTAAATAGTTTGACAGTGTTGAGGGAATTATTTGTTTAGCAGAGTGATGGCGTTCAGGGAAAAAATGTCCTTGTGTCTAGTTGTTCTGGTGTGCAGTGCTCTATAGCGTCGTTTTGAGGGTAGGAGTTGAAACAGTTTATGTCCATGATGTGAGGGGTCTGTAGATATTTTCACAGCCCTCTTTTTGACTCGTGCAATATACAGGTCCTCAATGGAAGGCAGGTTGGTAGCAATTGTTTTTTCTACAGTTCTAATTATCCTCCGAAGTCTGTGTCTGTCTTGTTGGGTTGCAGAGCCAAACCAGACAGTTATGGAGGTGCAGATGACAGACTCAATAATTCTTCTGTAGAACTGTATCAGCAGCTCCTTGGGCAGTTTGAGCTTTCTGAGTGAAGATGAAGGAATATAGATTTAATTCCTTATTAAGAGGCTCACTCCTTGTGGTCTCCTTTAGTAACCTTCTTTAGAGCTCTGAAGTAGAATATATTAAAAAATTAGGTAACCAGGAGCTTAATTGGAAATTATATTCTTTTTTCCCCTCTTTTATGGTGGGAAAACAGATTAAGATCTTTTAAGCTGTTCAAATGGTGAAAGAAATATAGCAAGTACAGGTTGTTCTTGACTTACAACTATCCGTTTAGTGACTGTTCGAAGTTACAACAGCACTGAAAAAAGTGACTCATTACTTTTTCACACCTAGCACTGTTACAGGATCCCCATGGTCATGTGATCAAAATTCAGATGCTTAGCTCATAATTTATGACGGTTGCTGTGTCCTGAGGTCATGTGATCACCTTTTGCAACTTTCTGACAAGCAAAGTCAATGAAGAAGCCAGATTCACTTAACAACCATATTATCACTGCAGTGATTCACTGCAGTGGCCAGAAAGGTCATAAAATGGGGCAAAAGCCACAACTGTTTCACTTAGCAACAGAAATTTTGACATCAGTTGTGGTCATAAATTGAGAACTATCTGTAAGAGATGGTTTTTTGAATGGCTGGCTGAGGAATTCTGGGAGTTGAAGTCCATACATCTTAAAAGTTGCCAAGGTTGGGGAAACCTGATTTAAACAATGCGGATGTGTCACACGCTGGCCATGCCCACGCCCGGTTTAGCAAAGGGAAAAAAAGTCCTGAGACGTCATGTGATGCCGCCGTGACGATGTGAGTTTAACACCCCTGATGTAGTAGAATCAAGGATGAGTTTGCAAGGATAGAAAAGAGGTTTTGGTACAAAAAAGTTACAATTGGAGCCCCTTTTTCCTCATATCTCATGTTATTGATTTCTTTCACTTGCTATTTCTACTCCTTTTCTGTGCTTTGCAGGGAATGTGGTGACGGTTACCTAGGTTCAAAGAGAATTTAACAAACATTTAGGAAAGCTGCAGAAATGTCATTAAATACTACCCCTAAACATCTACCTCTAAACACAAAACACAAAAAGTGAAACCAACTTTTCTTTTTTCAATCCATACTACCAATCTGATAATAAGGAACACTTCAAAGATTCACTTTTGAAAAAAGTTCTGTGTTGAGAGATGGAAAACTGAGGGGAAAAGTGACACTAATACCCATGGGCCTGGATAGCACAGAGCCAAGCTGATCTGGATCTTTTCCAGGAGTACGTTATGAGTTTAGGCCTGCTGGTCCTTAGCATGGAAAAGGGAACTATGATCTCTCCCCTGGATGGAGTATGTGATGGGGAGATTCTGCGGAGATTCTCAGTCATCCAAGTCATAGTTATCTCAAAGGTGCTTTATTCAAAAGGCAACTGGACTGTTTATTCGTTGATGAAGAAAATGTTTTGCTTCTCATCCAAGAAGCTTTATCAGTTGAGACTGGATGGAAGGATAGGTTCTGAAAGGATGGTCTGTCTCTCTCTCTCTGTGTGTGTGTCTCTTTCTCTCTCTCTTTCTCTCTCTCTGTCTCTCTCTCTGTGTCTTTGTCTCTCTGTCTCTATCTCTTTGTCTCTGTCTCTCTCTCTTTGTCTCTCTGTCTCTCTCTTTGTCACTCTCTGTCTCTGTAGTGTGTGTGTGTGTGTGTGTGTGTGTGTGTAAAGATTGTATTTCTTTGCAGTCATCTGGTCGTTATCACCCTGAGAGCTGTTGAGGCCACTTGGAGGTTTATCTGTCCACTCAGGGTCACCTGAGTTGGTTGTGGCATTGTAGACTGGAAATAGGTGGATGTCTTATCCCTCCTCATCGATTGAGAGAGGGCTGCTCGATTCTAACACAGATGGATTCTTTTACCCCTCTCTCAAACCAGTGAACCTCTCTATGCAGAATGTGGCTGTCTTCAAAATGATGGGGTGTTCATACCATCAAAGAGACTAAGTATTAGCCCTTCCGTAGAGAAGGCTTAGAGGTGACGTGACAGCTGTCACCCAGTACTTGAAAGGGCTGTCACAGGGAAGAGGGTGTTGATTCATTCTCCAAAGCAGGGGTCTCCAACCTTGGCAACTTGAAGTCCTCCAGGCTTAAAGTTGCCACGGTTGGAAACCAGGGGTCGGTTGCTGGGGGTTCGCAGGGGTTCAGGACAACTTCTAGCTAAGATTCTGTGCAGTTCAGAGAACACCCAAATGCCACTCCTGGCTGGCTCCGCCCACCCCACCCCTCCCAGGAGACCCCACACGGCCCGCTTGGATGCAGGTAAGTGCAAGGCATACGCAGAGGCTCGGGGAGGGAAAAAAATGGGCCTACCTGTAGTTTGAAACGAGCCCGTTTCCAGCCTCCAGAGGGCCTCCGGAGCCTGGGGAGGCTGTTTTTGCCCTCCTGGAGGCTCGAGGAAAGCCTTCAGAGCCCGGGGAGGGCAAAGACGCTCACCCCGCTGTGGTGCAGGAGGCCAACTAAACCATGTCCACCATGGCCACGCCCACTCAGCAACCGGGCACAGAACCCCTTGCTAAAATTTTTGAAGCCCACCCCTGTTGGGGACTCTACTCCAAAGCACCAAAGAGCAGGACAGGAAATGGGTGGAAGCTCATCAGAAGGAGATTAGCAGGGATGCTGCAGCTGCTCCTCCTCGCTTTATGCATAGATCATGGGGAAATGCTTTTCGTGACTCAGAAAGGGGCAAAACAAAAAAGAAACAGAAATCAGAACAAAAAAAGAAACAGAAATTGTTGGTTTAAACCCTTTTGTTGACTTGTAAGTGGCCGGGAAAATCCATTGCCGTCACCACAGCAATCTCTGTTGAGTGTAGTTTAGTTTCTCCTCCTTCTCCATTTGAGGCATCGTTTTGGAAAACTGCTCTTTGCTGGCTCTTCATTTATTTATTTATTTTGACACTCCGGGCTGAGAGATCACTTTCGTTTCTGCTGGCTGCTGGAGCTGTTTCTTCCAAATCACGAGGACGCGCAAAAAGGGGAGGAGGATGCATTAAATGGGACCATTAAAAGGGAGAGCAGAATCTTTCTCTTAAAGAGGCAGCCAGAATTTCTGTGTCTCTCGGCTTTCAACCGACATGGGTGGATTGCTAACATGCCGTCAGTGTTCCAAGCGCATGGAGAGTCTAAAGGACCACAGTTTCTGGGACATCTGTAGGACATGTGTGAGAAAGTACTTTTGGTTCATCCTTGTCACTGTCATCGTGCTTACTTTATCTATCATTCACTACTCACGGGCCCCACCAGATCTAGTCGGGAAGTGCCCTAAAGACCAACCCAAGTTGCTTCACAACATCTCCCAAGTGGAGCCGGAAAAAGTGATTCTGAAGGAGCAACTGATCAAGATGGAAAAGAAGATGCAGAAGCTCAAGAATATTATGAACCAGACTCAAGAAAAATCTTTGCAACTTTTGGAAAAGAAGAAAGAAGAAGCGGATGCCCTGAGCAAGGAATTGTCAGGTTTCAACCAATCCCTTGTACTAACCAGACAGCTCCTGGAGAAGGAAAGGGAGAAAGCCCAAAGTTTACAGAATCAACTGGAGAAGGAAAAGGAGGACCTCCGAAAGATTCAGCAGCAGAGAGATTCTTGCCAGAAACGGCTGGTAAATGGGGGAAGGGGGGAGAGATTCATTGTAAAGTAAGATTAGAATTAAAAAAAAGGAAAAATGGGGGTGGGGGGAATATTGTAAAGTAAGGTTAGAATAAACAAGCATGATGTCATTTTTGGACCTAGCAGAGTGGCTTATTTTGTTCCAACCAGCTTTTTTTTTTTTTTAAATTTGATTTATATGCCCCCCTTTTCCGGAGACTCAGGGCGCCTTACAATGCGCTGAGCAATAGCCTTCACCCTTTTGTATATTTATACAAAGTCAGCTTATTGCCCCCACAAACTGGGTCCTCATTTTACCTACCTTAGAAAGGATGGACGGCTGAGTCAACCTTGAGCCTTGGCGAGATTCGAACCTGCAGTAATTGCAGGCAGCTGGTCTTAATAACCAGCTTAATAACAGGGTGCTTTAGACCACTGTACTACCAAAGCTCTGTGGTAGTACAGCTGACTTTCTTCAGATAACTAAATAGGCAGATGTGTTGTTCCTGCTATGATTGTGCCTTGGCTTTCATGTTCTCTTCCAGAATCACTTGGCAGGTTCTTGCTGGAGCTCGTGTTGGTATGTCCTGGGCTGCCCTCTCCTTCATTGCTCTGTCCTGGCATTTCTTGATGGTCTGGGGCAGTGGTGGAATTCAATTTTTTTTACTACCGGTTCTGTGGGCATGGCTTGGTGGGCGTGGTGTGGCTTGGTGGGCGTGGTGTGGCTTGGTGGGCGTGGCAGGGGAAGGATACTGCAAAATCCCCATTCCCTCTCCACTCCTGGGGGGAGGTTATTGCAAAATCTCCATTCCCTCCCCACTCCTGGGGGGAGGATATTGCAAAATCTCCATTCCCACCCCACTCCTGGGGGAAAGATATTGCAAAATCTCCATTCCCACCCCATTCTGGGGCCAGCCAGAGGTGGTATTTGCCGGTTCTCTGAACTACTCAAAATTTCCGCTGCCAATTCTCCAGAACCTGTCAGAACCTGCTGAATTTCACCCCTGATCTGGGGTGCTACTTCAAAATCCGCTTGTACAGGTAGTCTTCGACTTACAACCATTCATTTAGTGACCCTTTAAAGTTACAACGGCCCTGAAAAAAGTGTCTTATGACTGTTTTTCATACGACCGTTGTAGCATCCCCACATGATCAAACTTCGTACAAACTCGGCAACTGGCATGTATTTACGATGGCTGCAGTGTCCCAGGGACTCACATGATCCCCTTCTGCGACTTTCTGATAAGCAAGTCAGAAAGGAAGCCAAATTCACATAATAGCCGTGTTACTAACTTAAACATCTGCAGCAATCCATTTAACAATTACGGCAAGAAAGGTCGTAAAATGGGGCAAAACTCACTTAATAACTGTCCTGCTTAGTTAAAGAAATGTTTGACTCAATTATGGTCGTATGTTAAGGACTAACTGTATAGGAGTTCTGGGCATCGCCAACACATTTACAAAGCGCCATCTTGGAGAATGCAGGTTTGATTGGAGATCCCCAAATTATTGCAGCCTGTGAACCCATCTGGAAGTGCAAGAAAGAGATGTGAATGCAGAAGACAAATTGCTGTCTGAAAAAGAAGGGATGCATAAATGGCACTCCCCCCCCTTTTTTTCCCCCTCTCTCTCTTTAGGATCACCCTACAAAACTCTCTCCATATATCTTTTCACATTTTTACATATGTACATACATCAGTATTGTTGTTGCTGTGATACTTTTGACCAACAGATCCTCCCAAAAGATTTAGGGAAGTTGAAGACATTGTTGTAATACAGGTAGTTCTTGACTTATGACCACAACTGAGCCCAAAATTTCTGTTGTTCAGTGAGACATCTGTTAAGTGAGTTTTCCCCCATTTCTTGCCACCGTTGCTAAGTGAATCACTGCAGCTGATAACTTAGTAACAGGGTTGGTAAGTGAATCTGGCTCTCCCCCATTGATTTTGCTTGTCAGAAGGTTGCAAAAGGGCAATGTGCAATGACACAGCAATGGTCATAAGTATGAACCAGTTGCCAAGCATCTGGATTTTGATCCCAGAATCATGGGGCTGCCACAAATGTCATAAGTGTGAAACAGAGGTGGTATTCAGCAGGTTCTGACCAGTTCTGGAGAACTGGTAGCAGAAATTTTGAGTAATTTGGAGAACCGGTAAATACCACCTCTGACTGGCCCCGCCCCCATCTATTCTCTGCCTCCCGAGTCCCAGCTGATCGGGAGGAAATGGGGATTTTTGCAGTATCCTTCTCCTGGAGTGGGGAGGGAATGGAGATTTTACAGTATCCTTCCTCTGCCACACCCACCAAGCTACACCCATAGAGCCGGTAGTAAAAAAAATTTGAATCCCTCTCCCCCTCTTTCTCTCATTCTCTTTCTCTCTCCCCCCCCCTTTCTCTTTCTCTCTCTCTCCCCCACACTCTCTCTCTCATTCTCTTGCAGGGGGCCGATCTGGTGTCTGCAATGGAGATCAAAATCCAGCTTCTTCTCTCTGCTGTAAGTGCAGCATCAGGATTCCGCCTTGGTATATTTGCAGCGCAAGGCCGCCCTCGTTTCCTGCCGACTCGGAGCGGTAAACAGCATCTGGTTCGGGGAGCAGCCGGATTTTGCTCTCCATTGCTCTCTCGGCCCCCTGCAAGCTCTCATCTCTCGAGAAGCCCAACCAAAGTTTCCCGCACCACTTCAGGGAGCGCTTCTCGAGAGACGAGAGCTTGCAGGGGGCCGAGAGAGCAATGGAAAGCAAAATCCGGCTGCTCCCCGAACCAGACGCTGTTTACCGCTCCAAGTCCCAAGCGGCAGGAGATGAGGGCTGCCTTGTGCCGCAAATATACCAAGGTGGAATCCTGATGCCGCACTTACAGCGGAGAGAAGAAGCCGGATTTTGCTCTCCATTGCAGACACCAGATTGTATTGCACCACCTGCAAAAATGCAAAAATTTCCAAATATAGCCCTGCCCTCTAACAGCCCTCCTGATATTCAACTGTTGTCTATCAAGGAGGATACTTGGCCATCTTCATGCTTGAAAGGATTCTATAGTGTAACAGCAGATGTCTCCCACCTTGGCAGCTTTAAGACTTGTGGACTTCAACTCCCAGAATTCTCCACAATTCCCCTGAATGGGCTAGGTGGGAGTTGAAGTCCACAGGTTGTAAAAGAGCCACAATTGCCCAGCCCTGGGCTAGGGTAGGCTGACGCCGCGTGGGTGGGAGGCAGGGCAGGGCGAGGGGCGGGCGAGCCAGCAATTTAACAAACGGTTTGGTGTGCTGCAAGGCCAATAAATTGCAAAAAAACACCGAACCGTTTGTTAAATTACTGGCTCGCCCGCCCCTCGCCCCGCCCCCACTATTTATTGGCAAGGGGCGGGGCGAGCCAGCAATTTAACAAACGATTTGGCCGAACCGCCTAGAACCGGCAGAATCCCACCACTGCCAATAAGTATATGCAGTTCTGAGGTCCCGGCTATCATGGCATTTATTTCCTAATTCTAGACATCTAACTGATTATCACGTGATACACCTTATTTCTTCATGTTCTTTGGTAATGAGTAGAGCAAAATACTCCTTTTTGAATCACGTGATCATTCCATTTTGTGTTGGTTTTTTTTCCCCCATTAGAACACGTTGGAAGAAGAACTCAAGTCTCCAGGTAGTAAAACTAGAGAATACGAAGGTAAGTGATAACCATGTGGCTGACTTAATACAGGACTTTCTCCACTTCCAGGTTAAACAACTTTCCACTCATCCTTAAGTTGGCAGAAAACTGAATACAATTACTATAAATCGGGGGTGTCAAACTTTAAGACCTGGGGGCCGGATGTGGCCCGCGGGGTGCTTAGATCTGGGCCATGGGGCTGCCCTGGAAACAGCGAAGGACTGGCCCGTGATGCCTCTGCCAGTGAAAAGGGCATTCGGGAGGACTGCTTGTGGCCCTCCAGGGCTCCTTTTTTCGGCTGTTGTTGTGACCCAGGCCCAAGTAGGTCGTAATCGACGCAAACAGTTCCAAAACAAACAGACTTGGCCAAACTTGCCACTAGGCAGTTTTAAAAGTGCATGCAGCCCATGTCCACTTTACTTTGGTGTTCTTTGGCATTACTTAGCACTTCCCGGTGTTCTTTCCAAACTTAGCAGTTTCGAAAAGCTGTCTTATGACATGGGCTGGGGATCAGGTGAAGGCAATGTGAATGACATAGTAAAGGAACTGACAGCATGGTAAGATGCGAGAAGGGGAAGGTATTTTTAGTGCCAACATGTGTGGGCTTAAACTGGGTGAAGCCACCTATAGTGGGCCGCATGTTAGCCTGCATTGCTAATAGATGGAATGCTGGGAACACGTAGTTCAGCAACAACGGATTCTCCTTTTGTGACCCTATGCCTTGCATGTATGTATAAGAGGAAGTGAAATACCATCTGGGTAACATAGTATTTTCCTTTTTCTTTTTAGGTAAAATAGCAGAGCTTGAGAGGCAGATTAAACAAGAGAAACAGAGAAACCAAGACAATTTTAGACATGAAAGGTAACAAACAGAATTTTGCTTGTTGCTGGGATTCACAGGTCCTTCATATCCTGCATCCAGAAACAGCCAGCCAGATGTTTCTAGGGAAAATCCCCTTTTCCACAACGTCCCAAGGACCAGGAACGGCTGCTAAAAGTCCTTAAAATTAAGAACAAAACAAAGGTACTGGTGTCAGACCAATGGATGCCATTCTGCCCAGAATCCTTTTCATACAATGGCCAGCCAAATACTTGAAAAATTATGTTTCAATTCATGTATGTTTTAAAATAGATTTATACAGCTGTCATTCTTACTAAACGTTATTCTGGGATATTCATTTAGCTCAGCTGTCAGGTTTCGATGTCATCTCAAATAAATTGCACTCCCAAACAATTAATCTTTGCTGAAATATTCCATTTATTGAGTACAACAGATCTGGCCCCGACTTCGTCGTAGCTGATACTAACCCTCTGACCCCAAACCCTTCCCTTTCCATTCCCCAATTCTCATCATTGGCCATCTTCCAAGTCAGGCTTCCCAGCTCCTGCCTTCAACCCCAGTCCCCCTCCCATCCCATCTCCTAGGGGATATTATCTACAGAGAAAATAAGTAGGTGAAAAGTCAAGCCTCGTCTCCTCCTCTTTATGGCAGCATTAAAATGCTGACATCAGCATTTATCAACCTTAGTAACTTGTATGTGTGGATGTCAACTCCCAGCATCATGCTGCCTAGGGAAATCTGGGAGTTGAAGTCCGTACATTTATTTATTTATTTATTTTATTGAAAAGTTTTATAAGAAATACAAACATTTTCTCCCCCCCCCAACCCCTCCCCTCCTTCTCCCCCACCTCCCTCCCTAGACTTCCCAGAACAGGCACAGGGTATAGCATTCACAAACATAAAACTAAAATATGCTAACAAATTGTTGACTTCATATTCTCCCTAGGTCTTTAACTCCTTATAACTCAAAAACTATAAGCATAAACTAAAAATTAAAAATATTTCATTCATAAGCTATATGAATCTTCTTGTTCTGATACTTTTTTTGAATATAGTTGATCCATCTTCCCCATTCTGATATGTATCTTTCGTTTGAATGGTCTTTAAGATATGATGAAATTTTTGCCATCTCTGCCAAATGCACAACTTTTAGTGTCCATTCCTCAATGGTAGGTGGATCTTCCTTCTTCCAATACTGTGCCACCAGTAACCTGGCAGCTGTTATTAAATTCAAAACCAATTTAGTCTCTATTACAGTACAATCTGTAACTATTCCCAACAAAAAAAACCTGTGGTGCAAATTTAATCTTTTTCTTTAAAATATTTTGAATAATCCACCATATTTTTATCCAAAAAGCCTTAATTTTTTTACATGTCCACCATATATGAAAATATGTAGCATCTTCACACTCACATTGCCAACACTTAGGTTGTAAATTTGGATACATACAGGCTAGTTTTTTTGGATCTAAATGCCATCTATAAAACATTTTATAAAAGTTCTCTCTTAAATTTTGGGCTTCTGTAAATCTTACATTTCTAACCCATATCTTTTCCCATGTTTCCATCATTATTGGTTCGCCTATATTCTGTGCCCATTTTATCATACAATCCTTGACTAGCTCTGTTTCTGAATCTATTTCCACTAATGCATTATACAACCTTTTTATATGCATTTGACTCATGCTGCCTAGGGAAATCTGGGAGTTGAAGTCCGCACATTTAGAAGTCACCAAGGTTGAGAAACACTGATCTAGCTCAACATTTTCAGTCTGCCGATACAGCAACCTAACTAGGGGTTCCAGAATAAGGTATTTCATGAAGATCCACTTTATGATTCTTTATCAAATAGCAATGGCATGGCATGCATAATGCAATTGCCCTCTCTGTTCCAGTTTTTATTAAGCAGAGTGAAAATTCACAGCATTTACTAAGCAGAGATGGACTTAAATGTATGTATCTCTGCTTAGCAGTTCCTAATAGATTTTCCCTCCATGGAAGTGGGGAAATTTCTTCCAGCACCCTGCTTCGTTTCCAGGCTAAACTACAGGCCATGATGGCAATATAGATCACAGGTGTCAAACTCGCTGCATGACATTTCGTGACATTTTTCCCATTTGCGGAGCTGGGATGGGCATGGCCTGTGCGTGACGCATCCGGTCCATGGGCCACCAGTTTGACACCCCTTACTTTTGGGTCTTCATCAGCTGAGATTAGATTCTGTTAGAAACAGTACAAGTTCTCAGACGGAACTACTCGAGACCATAACTCAGAAGCAGCAAAGGATTGATTCACGTATTTGCAAACACTGGTTCACACAAGGTGGACCTAGAATGAGGGGTTCATCAGCTTCTTATCCCCTTACACAAGCTTGCTCCCCCTTTGGTACAGCATCCTACCAAAGACATCTACCTTGTATGGAACCTACTTCTTCTATATAATGTCACCTGTGTCACATTGCCAGTTTAACAGTTAAACCATAACCTACCAGTGGTGGGTTCCTCCTGGTTCGGCCCGGTTCTGCCAAGCCGGTAGCGGTGACGATATGACATCACCGAACTGGTTCTACCCACCCCCGCCCCCTCACCCCCGCGTTATTCTTACCTTTTATTTGGCCCCACACCCAATCTATTGCTGCCTCCTGAGTCCCAGCTGATGGGGGGCTTCAAAGGGCGGCCCTACAGCTGATCAATGTTAAAAGAAACAAATGAGTAGACCGGTGCCTGCAAAAATAAATGGGTAGACCAGTGCCTGCAAAAATAAATGGGTAGACCGGTACAGCTCTGCAAGCAGTTAAAAGCCTGGTAGACCAGTACCTCTGCTAAATCCTAAATAATTGTCACATGACCATCAAGCCACACCCACAAAATATGCCACGCCCACAAAATATGCCACGCCCAGAGAACCGATAGTAAAAAAATTAGAACCTACCCCTGTAACCTACCCTAGTTTTTTCCTAGCATAAGTTCTATTTTTATCTTTGTGTTTCCTCTACTCGCAGTGTTAACTGACATTTAGCTGTTAGCTGCTTATCTGGTGTCAAAACAGCTTATAATTTTCCATTTAGCACATGTTAAGCGTTTACTTTAGAAACCATAACAATTCCTTTTTATATATAAATGACAATTCCACAGTTCACTGTCACTTGGCTAAATTTGTTAAAAGGAAAAAAAAGGACTATAGTATTCCTGGCTCCGTTATTTCTTTTGATCTCCAGACTTTCCCTAACCTTAAAGCAACATCAGGACCTGCTGATTAGGACCCTGCCGTTTCAAACCTAATTTCAAAAAGAGCTTTGGAGCACACGGAGTTGTGAACATCACACCTTTCTGCAATCCATCAAAGTAAATGCTTTCTTCCCACCCATCCCTAAATCCTGTTGCAGCTTGGCTGCATAAGTATCAGAAGCAGTATCATTACTTTCAAAAACTACATTTTTTTTTTGGTAACAAAGCTGGAGCCCCTAAACTTACAGCCATTAAGATCTGGTTTTCTACCCAGGTACTGATATAAAATGAATCTATCTGGAGCTGGTTGTGGGGCATCCCAAGGGAATAACTGAGGCACCAGGTTTATATGGTTTATGAATTTATACTTATGGTTGTTGATTATTGTGAGCCACCCAGAGTTGTGTTTAAGATGGGCGCCCTTACGCATCTTTAAAATAAAAAAATAAATGATAAAATAATAAACCCCTCATTCCTCAATTGGGCAACTCCCTATGTTTTGAAATGCCATCTCCAAGAATTCTCAGCCTTCAACCCTGGAGGCAATTCTGGCACATGAGGGGCCAGTTACAGTGGTGGGATTCAACATTTTTTACTACCAGTTCTGTGGGCGTGGCTTTGTGGGCAAGGCAAAATCGCCATTCCCTCCCCACTCCAGGGGAAGGTTACTGCAAAATTTCCTTCCAATCAGCTGGGAGTCGGGAGGCAGAGAATAGATGGGAGCAGGGCCAGTCAGAGGTGGTATTTACCGGTTCTCCAAACTACTCAAAATTTCTGCTACCAGTTCTCCAGAATTGGTCAGAACCTGCTGAAACCCACCTCTGGCCAGTTGGTTTTTCTCTTTGATTAGTTCCCATCCTCTGTTTCTTAATAAGAGCCTTGATAGTACAGTGGTCTAAAGCACCCTGTTATTAACACAGCTGCCTGCAATTACTGCAGGTTCGAATCTCTCCAAGGCTCAAGGTTGACTCAGCCTTCCATCCTTTCTAAGGTAGGTAAATTGAGGACCCAGTTGTGGGGGCAATAAGCTGACTTTGTATAAATATACAAAAGTATGAAGGCTATTGCTTAACGCATTGTAAGCCACCCTGAGTCTCCGGAGAAGGGCGGCATATAAATCAAATTTAAATAAATAAATAAATAACATAAAATAAAACAAAGTGGTATAAGAGATGGAAACAATTCTATAGTCCAGGTCTCTGTGATATGGGTATGGAGCAATGGTGGGTTTCAAAAATTTTTTACTACTGGTTCTGTGGGCGTGGCTTGGTGGGTGTGGCATGGCTTGGTGGGCGTGCCTTGCTGGGCGTGGCAGGGGAAGGATACTGTAAAATCTCCATTCCTACCCCACTCCAGGGGAAGGTTACGGCAAAATCCCCATTTCCTCCTGATCAGCTGAGAATTGGGAGGCAGAGAATAGATGGGGGTGGGGCCTGTCAGAATTTTTACTACTGGTTCTCCAAACTACTCAAAATTTCTGCTACCGATCCTCCAGAACTGGTCAGAACCTGCTGAAACCCACCTCTGGTATGGAGGGAAATCATTTGTCAAGAGACCTGTTATTACAGGCAACTGTACGGTCCAATCAATAGACTCTAATGAACCCTTTGAGGAGTGTTTATGGGGTTGGATCAAAAGAGTCAAGAGGGTGACTGCAATGACATAACCAGTGCCTGGTCTCTGAACCTTTCCTTTCTCTTCTAGAGAGCAGTACCAGAACAGAATCACGGAATTACATGATCAAATTAGAAGCCAGCAACAGGAAAAGAGTTCCACTAAAAATATCTTAGAAGATGGAACTATCATGCCCTGGGCGTTAGTGATTTTTCTCCTTTTCATCTGCTGTGTCAAATGTTGCAGGCAAGAGCAGTAGCACTGCCATTCAAGAAGTCCTGGAAGAAACTGTGGATATGGCGGCAGCTTAAAAACAAAGTACTGCTTGTGGGAAAGGAAACACTACTCCTTTTTACTTGCCTATTTGAAATATAAATGTCTTTGTCAAGCATTGGGTTTGTTTCCCAACAGAGATATATTTTTATTTTTTATTTTTTTTAAAAAAAAATTCCTAAATCGTTTAAAGCTGTACTTTAAATGTATTATTTAGAGCCACGGTGGCACAGTGATTAGAGTGCAGTACTGCAGGCTACTTCTGCTGACTGCCGGCTGCCTGCAATTCGGCAGTTCGAATCTCACCAGGCTCAAGGTTGACTCAGCCTTCCATCTTCTCGAGGTCGGTAAAATGAGGACCCAGATTGTTGGGGGACAATACGCTGACTCTGTAAACCTCTTGGAAAGAGTTGTAAAAGCACTGTGAAGTGGTGTATAAGTCTAAGTGCTACTGCTATTATGGTTGGTCACATAGTCAGCCAGATGTTTGGACTGGATTTGGCATTTTTATCCACCTACAGTATCAAGTCCTTCCCAAGGACTTGGGATAGGCAGATGTGGAGGTCTGATGGTGTTGCATCCTGATTGTCGCAGGATGTAAGCTGTTCTGAGAGAAGCTGCCTTTTGCAATTGACTGGTGGTGATTTTCTCAATGCCGATGGTGTTCAAGGAGTGCTCCAACCAAACACAGAGAGCATCAAGGATCTGGAACTACAAATATTCTCCTTTAATGGTATTCCAGTTGTTTTGGGATTGTCGCCAAGATTCCTATTACAGGTAGTCCTTACAACAGTTCGTTTCGTAGCCGTTCAAAGTTCCAACGGCATTGTAAAAAAATTGACTTACTTTCCCACTTGCAACCATTGAAGCATCCCTGAGCATCCCTCAGGCACTTGGCAACTGACTCGTATTTATGACGAGTTGCAGTGTCCCAGGGCCATGCGATCAACTTCTGCAACCTTCTGACAAGCAAAGTCAATTGTGGCACTAACGTCACAACTGCAGGGATTAATTTAACAACTGTGACACAAAAGGTCATAAAATGGGACAACATTCACTTAACAAATGAAATTTTGGGCTCCACTGTGGTCATAAGTCGAGGACTACCTGTATTAACAGTACTCTATCTTTGCTTTCTTTTGCCACAGTTTCTCTATTTCTATTTGCAGATCTTTGTATTTTGTCATCTGCTCTGTTCTTTCTCTTCTCTTCTGTTGTCTCCAGGTACTATCTCCATCCACTATCCGAACTTTGTTTTTCTTATCAACAATTGTTAAGTCTGGCATGTTATGTGGCAGGTGCCTGTTTGAATTCTTAAGTCCCAGAGCACTTTGGCTTCTTCATTTTCTGTTACTATGATTATAAACACAGCAATGTGAAATCACACTTTTCAGTTCTTTAGCTGGCACATTGCGTTCTTCTCAAGAACCGAGGAAGTCATAATATATTGGCATAACATACGTGTGGATCTAAGCAGTGTGGCCTTTTGTAATTGACAGGTGGAAATGTTGTCAATGCACAGATGTTGTTATTACCATTATTTTCTAGAATATACTAATATTTCAAGTAAACCACAACATGTGAAATAAAAACACAATACATACGTATCTATATAACTGTGTCCTCATCTTGAAGGCAGATGTTTGTTGTCTAGGAACTATCCACAATAAATCTGTATTTAACCCTTCCCAAATACTTGGCAGTCTTGAATCATTTGTGTCTCTGTGGACTTCAAAGTAGGATCTACTAAAATTGGATTGGGTATCCAGCCATTGTGTAATATGAGCTAAGCTTCATGAACATGGTTTAATTTGTTTGGACATTCTCTTATAGTTGAGGATAATATACCAACCCCTCCTTTGGTGAAAGCTATTTCTCTTGTATCTCTAAATTACAGTTATTATAATTAATGGCATGCAAAAGGGGTATTTTGGCAAGCAATTTTCCTAATCCAATGGGGCTTTTGCATAATTCTCCCAATTGTGTCCTTAATTAATTCTTCCATGATTCTATGCCCCTCCATGGAAGCTTCAGTCAAACTAACAATTTACAATTCCTCCATATGGTTTTAGGTTTAAAACTTATAAAATGCAATAAAACTCCACATTGTCCCTCTCATCCCATCACATGGCACCAATTGCTTCACGAGTAACTATCATATCCACTCTGTAGGCCTTCCAGAAAACTTCCAAAATACTAATGTGATAACAGTTCTAATAGTATATGGAACTACCCGAGACTTTACTTGAAATCAGCAAAGAGTTTAATGACATGTTTGCAAACAAGGGAACACAAGAAGTGAACAACAATTAATAACAACAATAATAACTTTATTATCATTGTACGTGTATACACAGTATATCCATACAACGAAATTCACTTAGCATCCAAAAACCAGGTCCAACAGACATAACAATCCCCAAACACACTCCCCACCACCACAATTCCCCACCCCTAAACCACCCAAACATCCACATAACAGACCAAATAATACTGTCCAACAGCTCACCAATGGTGGCCCTTTAGTTCATTGTTGAGTGCAATTATAGCTCTGGGATAAAAACTATTCAGAAAATGTGTGGTCTGAGTTTTAATTGTTCTGTATCTTCTGCCAGAAGGCAACAGTCCAAAAAGATTGTAAACAGGATGGGAAGAGTCTCTGAGAATGTTATGCAACTTTCTCAAACAGCGAGATTCAAAGATGTCATCCAGGGCTGGTAGCTGGAGTCCAATGATATTCTGGGCAGTTTTAATGATTCTCTGTAGAGCTTTTTTTTGTCCGCTACAGAACTGCTCCCATACCATGCAAGAATAATGTAAATGAAGCGGGCTCTGATAGATGACCACTGGATAACTTTCTATTCACTCTATTCTAAAAAGCAATGCATCCGGTTGGAAAAAGTACAAACTCAGCCAAAATCCTTTTGGTACCTCTAGGAGGCCTCTAAGTTGTCAGAAAAAAAGGAACATTCTAATGACATACATCTTAAAGGTTGGTTAGGTCAAGGGGATCCACATGAGTTAAAAGTTGTCTATCGTCAGAAGATGATTTGAGTCTATGCTTCAGTAATCTACAAAAAGAATTATAACTGTTTTGCAAAGAAACTCAGTAATTAGGAAATGTCAATTAAAAATGACAAATGTATATGACCATATGAATTGCTGAGTTAACAGAATCCTTTGTCTAGAAGGGTATAAAACCATTGTACCTAATTTCTGTCTTTGTTCAACGCTTCATGTACAGAGCTTTGAACCTATTGCGCAATATACAAATTGTCTCTGATTAATCCAAAAGTTGTGTTTGTCTTATTAAATCCACAACAAGAATGCCGTATGTCAGGATACTCTCAATGGTGCTGCGATAGTAGGACAGAAGTAGATACTGAGATAGATTTATCTTCCTGAGCAGTCTCAGGAAGTACAGCATAGTTGATCAATTTGATCACTCACACAAAACCCCACATCTTCCCCCCTCCCTTTTTCCTGTTTAAAACATTTCTTCTTCCTTTAACCCTAGTTAACTTTTATTTATTTATTGGTTCGATTTATATGCCGCCCTTCTCCGGAGACTCAGGGCGGTTTACAATGCATTAAGCAATAGCCTTCATACTTTTGTATATACCTGCTTAGTAGGGCTTTCGGGCTCCCCAAGCAATGTTCTTTTTTTATACAAAGTCAGCTTATTGCCCTCACAATCCAGGTCCTCATTTTACCTACCTCGGAAGGATGGAAGGCTCAGTCAACCTTGAGCCTGTTGAGATTTGAACTTGCAGTAATTGCAGGCAGCTGGCAGCTAAGTGCTACTTTAACAGCACTTTAGTCCGCTGCGCCACCAAGGCTCTTGCTCTTCTACTTGTGGTTACAGCTGGCATTTTGCAGTTTTGACACTTCTAGCTTATTTGTCTGTAAAAGCTTATACTTTTCAAAACAGCTTATAATTCTATTTCTTATATAAAGCATTGCAGAAACAATACACATTTTAGAAACAATACAGGCTTCCGGTGGCGACATTATGGCAGTGCAGAGGAAAGAGGTCCTTTAACTCTGGTTTTTTTCACGATTGGGGGACCCTTCAGGGCGCGGAGAGCCTGGAGAGCCACGCGAAATAAAGGGGAAGCCTGGGGGAGTAGCGAGGTGAAAGGCGATCACCCGCTGCAATGAAAGGAAACCCTTTAAACCTGACGTGAAAGCGTCTGCTATTGCGAGATGGCAGACCCGAGGCCATGACTAGTCACAGACGATGCGGAAGCAAGGATATATTTAACAGACTGTGTCACTGAAGTGAGTAAAAATATCCCAAAACTGTAATAGAAGAGAAGAGCCTAAAGAAAGAGTAAGTCCTTGATTTTTGGTGATAGAAACAATACAAACCCCATTTTGTTTTACATATGATTATATTGATTATGTATTTCCATCACTAACAAGGATAGCAGTAGTACTTAAACTTACATACTGCTCCATAGTGCTTTACATCACACTTACGAGTGCTTTACAAATATCAGCATATTCTAACAATCTGGGTCCTCATTTTACCAAGGAGATGGGGTCCAGAGAAAGGGCTGCATCACCAAAAGAATTCAGCCCCAAATCTGAAAATTAAGAAATCCATTGAAGGTCTGGGCTAGATCAACCAGAAAGATCTCCTGAAGAGATCAGTGATACAAGCATGGGCAGTAAAGAAGCGGACCTTGATAGAAAAATATTTATCTATCAATATCTATCAATATTTATCTATTACCTAGGCCAGGGATCTCCAAACATGGCAACTTTAAGATTTGTGGACTTCAACTCCCAGAATTCCCCAGCCAGCATGAGTTGAAGTGCACAAGTCTTAAAGTTTCCAAGTTTGAAGACCCCCCGGCCTAGGTGAAAAGGGTTGAACAAGATCCCATTTTGAAGTGGCTCAGGCAAATACTTCCCTAATTCACAGAACTATAAGGACGAGGAGGAAGTACAGCAGAATCCAATTTGCAGAATTGCAGATTTGCAGAATCCGATTCTGTTATCCTAATTGATCTTAATAAAAGTAGTTTAAGCCTTCTGTGCAGCTGATTTCTTGGCTTGGGCTACCCTGTTGGGCTTACAATTTTGATGTAAGAGAGCTTGCATTGTGAGTCATATGGTTCAGGACCAGTGGTGGGTTGCCCCCAGTTCGCACTGGTTCTATAGAGACCCACTATTCCCCACTCAAGGTGGAGAATATTCCTAATACAGGTAGTCCTCGGCTTACAACAATTCACTTAGTGACTGTTCGAAATTACAATGGCACTGAAAAAAGTGACTTGGGATCATTGTTCACACTTACGACCGTTGCAGCATCCCCATGGTCACGTGATTTACATTCAGATGCTTGACAACTGATTCACGTTTACGACGGTTGCAGTGTCCCCAGGGTCATGTGATCCCCTTTCGTGACCTTCTGGCAAGCAAAGTCAATGGGGAAACCACATTCCCTTAACAACCACGTGTTACTCATTTAACAACAACAGTGATTCACTTAACAAATGTGGCAAGAAAAGTCATAAAATGGGAGAAACTCACTTAACAAACGTTTCACTTCGCCACCTAAATTTGGGGCTCAATTCTGGTCATAACTTGAGGACTACCTGTACTCCTTTCTCCTTTTATTTTCCCCACAACAACAACTCTGTGAGATGGGTTAGACTGAGAGAGAGTGACTGGCCCAAAGTCACCCAGCCGGCTTTCAGGCCTAAGGCGGGACTAGAACTCACACTTTCCTGGTTCCTACCTAGTAGAATCAGAGGTGGGATTCAGCCAGTTCTGTCCGGTTCGGGCGAACCGGTAATGGTGACTGCGGGAGGCTCCACCCACCTGCCCGGATGTAATGCACAAGCAAAGAGCACGCGCACGCGCTCACATTTGCAAATTGGAAGGGAAGGGAACTGAATCTCACCTCTGCCTAGAACCTTAACCACATGTCCAAACTGTCATAAACAAACAAGTAAATAAATAAATAAAGGCACAAGGTTCTCCATGTCTGCTGTCAATCCCCTCCTGTCTCTCTTTTCTTCGTCTTCCCAATCACTACAGTCCCTGACTTTGTCCCCCACCCCACCCTGTAATAAAGCACCACAGATCTTGCCCACTGGATGATGACTTTGGATGGCACCAGTAGTGAAATCCAAATGTTTATACTACTGGTTCTGTGGGCGTGGCTTGGTGGGCATGGTGTAGCTTGGCGGGCGTGGCTTGGTGGGCATGGCAGGGGAAGGATACTGCAAAATCTCCATTCCCATCCCACTCCAGGGGAAGGATACTGCAAAATCCCTCCCCACTCCTGGGGGAAGGATATTGCAAAATCTCCATTCCTACCTACTCTGGGGCCAGCCAGAGGTGGTATTTGCCGGTTCTCCAAACTACTCAAAATGTCCGCTACCGGTTCTCCAGAACCTGTCAGAACTTGCTGGATTTCACCCCTGGATGGCACCAGGGAGAACATTTCTTTGAACACTGCAGCAGCTAAAGATGGTTTGGGCTTGTCCCTCTCCTGCAATGAAGACAGGGCCAGACTGTGGTGGGGGGTGGGGGGGTGGAAGGCTCATTAGATGCAAATGGGGACCCAGCAAAAGTCTGAGCAGGGAGGTTTCGATAAAAATACCGGCTGCTCTGTGCTTATCTGACCTTTCTGCCAAATCCTGAAACTCTTGGAAAGGAAGCCCCGATGAGGTAAGC